CGACAGAGCGAGACTCCGTCTCCAAAAAAAAAAAAGAAACCAGGTGAGGGAAATGGCTATCGGTTCGACATCTTCTGTGAAGTCCTATTCTCTATGCATCTTTTACTTTAGTTGCAGGAAACAGTGTGCGTGCAGTTTTTGTTCTTTTTGTTTAACATCATAAATATTTTCCATCTTGTTTCATGGTTTTAATAAATATACTTTTTAAATTATGGCACAATATTCCTTTGAAGAGAATTACCTAAATTTAATTAATTATCTTCATACTTGAGGTTTTTACATTCTTTTTTTTTTTAGTTCTTTGAGCCATAAGAAATCTCTTCAGAAGTACTCCCCTTTTTTAAAGTTAGTCTCTGATTTCTAGTTCTTAATTCTTCTTTGTTCTGATGGCATCTGGACGCGAGTGTGAAGTTCCATGTTGCCGACGACTGACCACCTCGGTGGGACACAGAGGGCGGACACATAGCTCCCCAGGGCCTTTCACACCTGATGTTGGGTCTTGGAGGATTTTTGTTGATTGTACTGAAGGTGCACCGTGCTTTGGTTTCAAGCTTTTGCCATTGCTGTGAGTACCACCGTGACTCTTTCCCCCTTGATGCAGGGTGAAGTCCTGGGCATCACTAGGTTTGGCCTGGCCAAGATGAAGGAGAGTGTGCTGATGCTGGCCTCCTTTGAGAAGACAGCTGACCATCTCTTTGACGCTGCCTACTTCGGGCAGAAGGACTCCGTGTGTGGTAGGTTTGATGTTTCTATGAACAGCATCAAAGGCCTTTACTATTTACACTTAGACCATGTCTAGGCTTCTAAGGGAATGAAAGAAACTGAGTGGCACAGCATTTATTTTTTCAAGAATAATGTCATAGATCATGAATTGGAACTGCTGGATCTTTTATCTCCAAAGCCTGACTGTAGCATCCTGCATCCCCGTTTACATTTGTTGGATGACTTCCCTCTGTCAGCACAGATGGTTTTTGGTCCAAGAGGAAAAGAGCAACCCTGAGCATGTAAGAATTTTTCTAGCCCTTGACTTTGTAGTTAGCCACACTTCTCCTGACCCCTGTGTATGACACCAGGGCTGACAGGAGAGGGTACTGGCTGGGCACTGGGCAGAGCAGAGTGTCCTGCTGTCCTTGGGAGGTAGCCGTCGATGCCTGCTCAGCCCCTATGCCAGGCATCATATGTGCTAAGTATGTCAACCCACCCTTGGGGTGTGGATATTAAGCCCTTTGACAAGTCCGAAGACCCAGGTGACCTAGCTTGCTGTCGAGTCTACCAGCAGAGCTTTGTTCTGCACCATGCCTCATCCCCACCACTCAACAAAGCATGGCTCTGATGGCGCTGTACTGGCCTGCGGGAGAGGGAGCATGAGGGGAATTCTCCCCAATGTCTGGCTTCCCTGCGTCTTCCATGAGACCACCACTGACTGCTGAGCTTTGCTCGAGCCTTTCTGATTCCACAGGAAGACCCTGCAGGCCTGCGGTGGGAGCTGGTGAGGGGCTGGAGTTCGGGAGGGTCAGCAGCCTGCCCCAGGGCACACGCTAATCAGGCCCTCAGAGATTCCAAGTCTGGCTGCTGTTTCCAGGCCAGAGCTCTGCTTCCCAGTAGCCCTTTGCTGTCTCACCTCCTGCTCTCGTATAGATTGGCATCATTAGAGTGTATACCTATTTTTTGCCTCTAAGATTAACTTTCTGTTTTCAAAAGGGACATGGATTGGAGATGGAGGGAAAGAAATATTACATAATTCTTTAAGATAAAGAAGGATGAGAGCCGGGCATGGTGTTGCTGTCGTCCCAGCCACTCAGGAGGCTGAGGCAGGACAATCACTTGAACCCAGGAGTTTGAGGCCAGCCTGGGCCACATAATGAGACCTCATGTCTATTTAAATATTTTTTAAAAACAAGCATGGGCCAGGCACGGTGGCTCACGCCTGTAATCCCAACACTTTGGGAGGCCGAGGCAGGTGGATCATGAGGTCAGCAGTTTGAGACCAGCCTGGCCAAGATGGTGAAACCCCATCTCTACTAAAAAATACAAAAATTAGCCAGGCACAGGGGCAGGTGCCTGTAATCCCAGCTACTCGGGAGGCTGAGGCAGGAGAATCTCTTGAACCCAGGAGGCAGAGGTTGCAATGAGCCGAGATCACACCACGGCACTTTTAGCCTCAGTGACAGAACAGGACTCCGTCTCAAAAAAACAAAAAAACAAAAAAAAAAAAACGAGCATGAAGGGAAAGAAAAAGGAGCAGCAGTTAGAGTGGGGCAAGAGGGAGGTACATGGAAGACTGGAAGAAGGCCCAGGGCCAGGAGAAGAGCGAGTCTGCCTGACAACAGGGCTGAGACCCAGCACTCAAGCCTGACACCTGGAAACCGGGTCTTTGCTGCAGCTCTGCGGCCCCACACACCACCACGCACGACCTCTCTCCACCACCAACCTCCTCGACTGCCTGGCTGCCACCCCAGCCGCAATTTGAAGTTTTCCCCTCCTCCTGGTCTTTCAGCACATTGTAACCCAGTGTTCGCCCTCACTGCATGTTGGTCTTTAGTTGTTTGCCTGTCTGGTTCTTTGTTAGCACAAAGTCTATAAGACAGTAGCCATGTGCTTGCTCGTCGTAGACTCAAGGCTTATGCCAGGTTGACATGGGCTTGGAGAAAGAATCTGCACCACCCTCTTGCTCCTGTAACTCTATAGGTGCCCTGCCTTCCGGGTGTTTCTCATCAGGGCTGTAGATCATCAAGGCTCAGATGCTCTTAAGCCTGGCCTGGCCCCTTCCCCTGAGCACAGCTAACAGCTGCCTGCTGCAGTTTCCAAGGGGATTGTATTCTACTCACTACTGTCCCAGTTGTTTGCTTTTCTTGTAGGCTCTAAGCTAAGGAAGCACTGGGTGGCAAACTTAGAGTTTCCTGAGCATCCTTTCATATTCTTGCTAAGCTGTATTCTCAAAGGCACGGCCCTCCCAGGGTGCCTTTGGCTCAGGTGGGAGAGGAGAACTGGTGGAGCTGACTCTCTCCAACAAACTCCTGGGCTGTGAGCAGGCACTGCCCTTCCCTGAAAGCACATAATCCCCCCGGCCTGCACTCCACAGCCACCCTTCTTTTCTAGACTGGAAGGAAAGGGATTTTCCAGAGTTCAGCCAGTTGATGTGGAGTGGTGCTGGGACTCACATCCTAATTTTCTGACACTTAAGCCAATAGTCTGTCTTCCTGAAAATGTAGCTTGTGTTTAGAGGCTCTCTGATGTTCATTCTGGTTGGTTTCAGGGGTGTCTGAGTGCATCATCATGGGAATCCCAATGAACATTGGAACCGGGCTCTTCAAGCTGCTCCACAAGGCCGACAGGGACCCGAACCCCCCCAAGAGGCCCCTGATCTTCGACACGAATGAATTCCACATCCCCCTTGTCACATAGTCCAAGGAAAGAGGGGACCATGCCAGACCTTGACTCCTTGTCCTGTCTGCAGCTCATGTGAAGAGTTTTGTGCTCCCCGGGACGGGGGTCCTGAGGCCCCCACCTGTGCCAGCAATCAGAGAAGCCCCCTTGGCATCCCCAGGAGCGGCTCCTCCTCTGATAGGGCGCAGCTCACACCAGTGACCCTGACTGTGCCATACTACTCGGGAGAGCTGAGGGTTTTTTTGTTTGCTTGCTTGAAACTCAATCTATGGACGGCCCCACAGCTCCTGCACACCCTGCCTACCTGGACTTAAGGCCCAGCCAGGTGTCATGGCCCATCCCAGCTCACTGCATACATCCATCGGCTCCCCGTGGTGTCTTCACACCTGACGGTGAGCCAGGCCTGAGCCCCGCACAGGCCAGGGCACGTTCGTGGATTTTCCATTCCTTGGTCATGCTGGAATCTCTCAATGTGACATACTCATGTAAATATTGTTACTATTATTTATTTGTTCCAGTTGAGGGATTTGGAATTTTTGTTATTTTAGTTTTATTTTTGAAACCAAGCATCTATAGAAACCAAGAAAGCCAGCATGTAAGCGTCACTGGAAAAACTGGTTTAAGCAAATAGAGCCATCTGGGATTTGTAACTGAGCTGCAACTGTCATGAGGCCCAGGCAGCTCTGTAACATCTTCTGTAGATGCCCCTGGCTACCCTGTTTTCATCTACCTCAGACCCCTATCATGGGGCTCTACCCTGTGACAAGAGCCAAACCCATTCTCCATGGCCTATGGAAGCCTCACTGGAGTTTGGAGCCTGCTGCGATGGGGATGAGACGTTTTTTATAGAATTACACTTACGTTCCTTGGATGTTCTCTAGTTGATTTCTGAAGTTCTGAGTTGATGCTGTTAAGGTGCCTGGGGTAGCCATTGGTTCTTGGATCTGTGTTAGAATGAGTGCTTTCCCTTCATACTGATGAGATTGTGGATTAGGAATTCTTGACCTAAGTGATTTTTGGCCAGTCGTTGGGTTTAACATTCTATTAAAATTTGTAGTTTGGGCTGGGTGCTGTGGCTCACACCTATAATCCCAGCACTTTGGGAGGCTGAGGATGGTGGATCGCTTGAGCCCAGGAGTTTGAGAGCAGCCTGGGCAACATGACAAAACCCCCTCTCTACAAAGAATACAAAAATTAGCCAGGCATGGTGGCGCATGCCTGTAGTCCCTGCTACTGGGGAGGCTGAGGTGGAAGGTTCACTTGAGCCTGGGAGGTGAAGGTTGTAATGAGCCAAGATCGTGCCACTACACTCCAGCCTGGGCAACAAAGCAAGACCTTGTCTTAAAAAAAATAAATAAGCTTAAAAAAATTAATTAATTCTTATAAAAAATTGTAGTTTGACTTTATGATTTCCCTGCATCTACAAGGTAGACCTATTAACTTCTCTTGGGGTATCAGTGACATGAAAAAATGCCATTTTTCTTAATGTTTAACCCCCCTTTATCTTTCAGTTGAGCCAGAGCCTGGTTTAGGACAAAGGATTAAGTTTGTTAATGAACACTAATTCAGGGCTTCTACTTGAGACCCCATTGAGATCACTGCTTCTCATGTAACCCGGGAAGAGCCATAAAGGGGCACCCCCCACCCCAACTGCCTTCCTGGAAGCGTGCCTGGGAAGTAAGCTGTAGGCTTGATCTGAGCCAGGACCACTGGGATCCGTGCAAAGACCAGGGGAGGGTAGAATTGAATCATGGGAGGGAACTCCGACACCCGTTTTCTTCTGCGGGTGACGCACACTTTAAATGGAAGAGAGGTTGTGGCTATAACTTGTGGCTGGGAATAATAAAGATGGCACCACCAAGGAGCCTCATCTTGCTTGAGTGAGTACTCAGTTGGGTGCTGCAGAGTCTTGAGTCTGTGTGAGACGTGTGTGATTGTGATGGGTGCGGATCAGCATATAGCACTTGGGAACAAGGCAGACCTTGGAGCAGAATGGTTATGTGAAGGGTCACATCACCCATGGGAAATCATACGTCCTGGAGGTGCTGGTCCTCCTCCTGGAACTGCCAGCCTTGCTAGGACTGTCAACATCAACAGCATTGCCTGGTAAACCCTACTGTCTGTGCTCCCCACTGTGTCCCATGACTGGTATTAAAATTCTCCTTACTATGATCATCTGCCCTGCCCAGGCATTGGGCTTTATGCCAGCACAGAGCTCAAAGGCCAGGGAGCAGCACATCTTCAAGCATGAGAGCTCAATCAAAGGGTTACATTTGAGTCTCTGTACCTGCTTGGAAGAAATAAAAATATGCGTGAATTCCATCTCATCCATGAACAGTTACATATTCTTGACTAGCAGTCCGTCCAGTTCTTTGCCATTTTTATGTCTTTTTTACAAGGGAGATTAAAATAGCTCCTGACTCAGTTACAGCCCCCTGCTGTGTTCAGCACTTTAGGAGTGGGAGTGACATTCTGGACTCTTCCAGTATGTTTGTCAGTTAAACTATGGTGCCATGTTTCTATTTCAGGGTTTACCCATGTGTATTCACATTGATTCTTGTCTGATTGAACCTGGCATTGTATGTTTATTTTTCTTGATTTTTGCTATCTGTTGGACCTCTTTATTTTTCAACCACAACCCAAGAGAGGAAATATTTGCATTACCTAAAACTATAGCAGAATAATCCTTGTGGGTTGTGAAAAAGGATGTTGGTCTTATATGGGCTGTAACTCCTAGAATGAGAACCAGGAGCTCACCTCTCCGGGCGCTGGCAGTCAACAGTGAATGCCCCTGTTACCCCCACCCCTGTGACTTAGAAATGTAGGAAATAAAGTGCCCCCTGAGCTAATCCAGCCCCAGTAGGAGGCGCTGAAAGGACTCAAGTCTAGAGTCTGGAAGCGCCACCTGGCCAGGATCAGGTGCATAGCTTAACTTTTCTTTTATTCATTCGACAAAGATTTAAGGCCTGCTACTTCCAAGTCACTGTTCTAGGCATTAGGGGTGCAGCAGTAAACACAACAGGTGAATTAGATGTTAATACATCTGGCCAGGCGCAGTGGCTCACGCCCGTAATTCCAGCACTTTAGGAGGCCAAGGCGAGTGGATCACCTGAGGTCAGGAGTTGGAGACCAGCCTGGCCAACGTGGTGAAACCATGTCTCTACTAAAAATAGAAGAATTAGCCAGGTGTGGTGGCGTGCGCCTGTAATCCCAGCTACTGGGGAGGCTGAGGTAGGAGAATCGCTTGAACCAGGGAGGCGGAGGTTGCAGTGAGCCGAGATCACACAATTGCACTCCAGTCCAGCCTGGGAGACAGAGCGAGACTCCATCTCAAAAAAAAAAAAAAAAAAAAAAAAAAGTTAATACATCTAAAAGGAATTCCGCAGAAGCAGGTGAGGCAAAGAGGCTCAGATTCAATGTGCAGAAGTGTGTCCAGCACACTCTGGAGTGAAAGCTGCAGATCAAGGGATTGTGCTCCTGTGGGCACATCAGGCCCCACCAGGGTACAGAAAGGTCCGTCTGTGGCTGCAGCCTCTGGTTCCAACCTCTCCCCCAGGGCCTCTCATGACGCTAATTTGGCCTCCTTGCCTTAGGCTTGGATTTTGGGGAGTGTACCCTGGGTGAGGACACAAGCCTGCAGTCACTGGGAAAGGTTGCCACCGTCCTTTCCCCAGCCTACTGGCAGTGTTAGCATGTGAACATTTGAATCCATTAATACTTGCTACACTTCTGCTCTGTGCCAGGCAGTGCACTAGGCCCTTGAGGAAGGTCCCTGCATGAATGGAGCTTACCATCTGGTCAGGGTCATCTTGTTATGAGCCTGAGTTCTACAATCAGAGTGTCAAGATTTAAATCTCAACTCCCCCTTTTTTAAATTTTTATTTATTTTTTAATTTTAAATAGAGACGGGACTTGCTATGTGTTCCCAGCCCAGCTGGTCTCGAACACCTGGGCTCAAACAATCCTCTCAAAGTGTTGAGATTACAGGCGTGAGCCACCATGCCGAGTCCCAGTTCCCCCTTTCCATCTGGTGAACATGAACAAATTACTTAACCTCTCCTTGCCTCACTTGACTCATGTATAAGATAGGAATACTGTTTAGTAGTGTTTGACTCATTGGGTCATTGTGAGTTTTAAAGGTGATTACACATAAAAAGGTCTTAGTACAGTGTCTGGCACATAATACACATTAAATGTTTGCAGTTATTAATACAGTGACATTATTTTTTCCTGGAAAACATAGTCTGTGAATTCACAACTAAAAACCAATCCTCTGGCTCTTTTTATTTGACCCTAAGTGGAGCTTGGTGGACTTGGGATCCAGCCTCCCTAGACATAGCAACTACCCAGCTGTCTGCTCAATCAGTAGGTTGTGGGAAGTATTTTACATGGGGGAGGAGAAGGGTTAGGGAAGGGGATGGATGTTGGCCACTGCGTGGTTGAGGGCTTGAACACTTTAATGCAGGCCATAAAGTAAGTGTGATCTCATTTTAGAGTCACAGGTAGTAAGACCAGAATAATTCAGACAGGCAGGTTTTCTGTAGAGGTGCAGATGTTGATAACACCTATGTATTTAGATTATGTAAGAAGGTATCCCATAAGGGGGAACTTAACATTTCTCTCTCTCTTTAAAAGAATATGTTGCCAGGCGTGGTGGCTCACGCCTGTAATCCCAGCACTTTGGAAGGCCGAGGCGGGCGGATCACAAGGTCAGGAGATCGAGACCACGGTGAAACCCCGTCTGAAACCCCATCTCTACTAAAAATACAAAAATTAGCCAGGTAGTAGTGGTGCACACCTGTAATCCCAACTATTCAGGAGGCTGAGGCAGGAGAATCACTTGATCCTGGGAGGCAGAGGTTGTGGTAAGCTGAGATCATACCAGTGTACTTCAGTCTGGGTGACAGAGTGAGACCCTGTTAAAACAAAAAAAAAAAGAAGAATGGAACAGCAACTGGGTGACAAGGACAGAGGTAGGAAGTGACTCTAGTTTTTGTTTGTTTGTTTGTTTTGTTTTGTTTTGTCGTTTGTTTTTCCAGACAGGTTCATTCTCTGTCGCCCAGGCTGGAGTAGAGTGGCATGATGACCTCGGGTCACTGCGACCTCTTCACCTCCCAGGCTCAAGCAGTCCTTCCCACCTCAGCCTCCAGAGCAGGTAGGACTACAGGCACATTGCCCAGCTAATTTTTCTTTCTTTCTTTTTTTTTTTTTGTAGTGATGGGATTTCACCATGTTGCCCAGGCTTCACTCTGTTCTGTTGTACCTTTCTAATTTTGTGCCTTCTGAAGGTCTTGCCAATTTTTTTTTTTTTTTAAATCAATACCTGGGCAACATGGCAAAACCCCATCTCTACAAAAAATAAAAAAAATTAGCTGGGCGTCATGGCACACATCTGTGGTCCCAGCTACTCAGGAGGCTGGTGTGGGAGGATCAATTGAGCCCAGGAGGTGGAGGCTGCCGTGAATCAAGATCACACCACTGCATTCCAGGCTGGGCAACAGAGTGAGACCCTGTCTCAAAAAAATAAATCAACAGCTGATGGTAAAGAAATCCAGTCACCTTGGAGCAAACCCTATCCCGGAAAGTACTTGAGTGTTCTGAAGGTAGTTGAGTGGTCCCTTCCAGTGATAGCGACGTAAAGCTGGTAGGCACTAGTCACCAGTTAGGACAAGGTGACCAAAAAATGCAAGTCAACAAGCCTTAAATACATAGGATTTTCTTTTCTGACATAAAAAGTCCACAGTAGGCATTCCAAGGCTGAGAGAACAGTTCACCAAGTTGTCGGGGAGGGACCCAGGCCCCCCAGCCTTCCACTACACCACCCCTCCACCATTCCTCATGGTTCAATGTGGCTGCCGAGGTTCCAGGCATTCCAGCCAGGAGAAGGGGAAAGAGACATAGCACTTCCCTTTAAGGAACGTTCCCAAAAGTTACTTGACACTTCTGTTTACATCCCATGAGCCAGAACTTACATAGCCAAACCCAGCTCCAGAGAGGCTGGAAAATGTCTGGACTCTGGGTGGCCATGTGCCTAGCTAAAAATAGATCCCTCTGTTAGCAAAGAAAGAGGGGGAGGGCCACAGGAAGTGGAGAATGATCCTGTCTCTGCCTCTGATGGGCAGGACCTTTCTTTTTTCCTTTTTTGGCTTGACAAAGGTCAGAATAGCCCCCTAATCCCTCAGAAAAAAGGGACTGAGACCCTGATCCCTTCATTCTCCCTTTTAGTTTCCCCTTCTTGCAAATTTCACGCTTGAGTTATGGTGGGGTTTTTTTTTTGTTTTTTGTTTTTTAATATATAAACTGACATTTAAATTAGATCACATTCCCTTCACAGGCTGTTTAAAATGTTTCAGGGCTGATGGAAAATGTGACTGTCAAACATTCATTCAACAAATAACACTTTTTTGACCCCCTACTATATCCTGGCCCCAATACCAGGTCCTGGGTTTAGAGTGATGAACAGTATTGCTACGGCTCTTTTCCTTGTGGAATTAATCTAGTCACAGCACTGTCCAGCAGTACTGTAGTATATAGTAATATAGATGACAATAATTACGTAAGTCATATGTAATTTGTTTTTTGTTTTTTTTTTTTTGAGATGGAGTCTTGCTCTGTTGCCCATGCTGGAGTGCAGTGGCACAATCTCAGCTCACTGCAACCTCTACCTCCTGGGTTCAAGCAATTTTCCTGTCTCAGCCTCCCGAGTAGCTGGCAGTACAGGCACACGCCACTACACCCAGCTAATTTTTTTGTATTTTTAGTGGAGATAGGGTTTCACCATATTGGCTAGGCTGGTCTTGAACTCCTGACCTCACGTAATCCACCCCCCTCAGCCTCCCAAAGTGCCGGGATTACAGGTGTGAGCCACCATTCCCGGCCCATATGTAATTTTAAATCTAGTATTGGCCAGGCATGGTAGCTCATGTCTGTAATCCCAGCACTTTGGGAGGGTGAGGCAGGAGTACTGCTTGAATCCAGGCATTTGAGACCATCCTGAGCAACATGTAAAAACCCTGTCTCTACAAAGAATACAAAACATTATCCAGGCATGGTGGCACGCACTTGTAATCCCAGCTACTTGGGAGGCCGAGGTGGGAGGATCACCTGAGCCTAGGGAGAGGAAACGAGAAATTAATTTTAACAATACATTTTATTTAACCCAACATGCCCAAAATGTCATTTCAACGTGTAATCAATATAAAAATGACTGAGATATTTTACACTCTTATTTTCATACTAAGTTTTCCAAATCCAGTGTCTATTTTGCGCTTAGCACATAGCAAGTTTCACGTGCTCAGTAGCCACATAGCCCAAGGGTTGGCCATTC